CTGTATAAAATATTCACAAAATTACTCGAAACCACTTGTTATTGCAAACTGTAGCCCAACAGTAATGCTTATATATTGATCGTAAATTGACTGCAGATATACGTAATCGAAATTATCTCTAAAATTCGACAAATTTAGTACTTAAACAGTCCTTATTACATTGTGTATCAAATCATGTCAAGAAAAATCAAATTTGACGATAAAAATGTGGTATTGTTTCAGTGGGCGCGGTGGCCTTGCGTCATAATTCTATATCTTGGCGTTTTAGGGTTCAATCCGAACCCGACCAGTTCATCCAGGATGTAAGAAATTTAGGAGGCACTGCCGAAATTTAGTAAACCCAGTATCTGCTTGTTTAAAGCCTTGTACGGGGTGAAGAATCTCATGGGATGGCAGTTGTAATATATGGGGTCATTTGACATTAGACCCGACGAATAAAACTGACGAAATTTCTAATACTCCAAAATTTTTCCCTCGAATCTGTGGGATGTGAAATTTTATTGTATATCTAAGGTCCTTGCTGATATTTGAAAACGTGCGTAATAATAACTGATTTAAAACAGCAAATATTTAATGATTACGGCTGAGATAACTAAGATGTACGCATTATTTTGTTATATTTCATAGCGTTTAACACAGATTATGAGCAAATAGTATAACTGAGATACGCAATATGTATGTCCCGGTGGTTGATATGATCTTCAAAGACTGACCAATAGTGCAACTAAAACTTTAAATCAATAATTAATTTTGTTTATTTTTCTCAAAAACTACAACATTTTACAACATGAAAGATCAATTTACTACTTTTAGGGTGAACAAATTCAGAATCCGATTTTTATCTTTATATCGATCTCTAAGCCTGGTACCGGCATCTCTGAGAGTTCTGTTCAACTCGATTTGAACAACAATTAACGTAATTTCAGATGAATTTAAAGTTTTTCTGAATCAAATTAAAGGCCTAAACATTGCGTAATCAAAGCGAATCGTCAAACTCGCTAGAGAGACTATTTCGCTGTATATATGCGATTCTTACATTTTCGATTTGAACCAGGCATTAAACAAACTATGAATTATATAGATCAATAGTGTCATGTATGTCATTGTGAGGCCGTCTGGGGATTCGTTAAACAGTTCAAAATCAATTATGAAATAGGTACAAAATTGTAGCAGTATACCAGGGTAATTTGAGTGTCTAATTAAGGATGGCCAAAAAAGATCGTCAGTGAGTCCAATGACATAATAAGGTCAGTGCGGGTCCAATTAGGGCTGGCGAAATATGATCAGTGAGTCCAATAGCAAAATACGGTCAGTACGTGTCCAATAGGGTCAGTGAGTCCAATGGCGAAATATGGTCAGGTGTCTAAATAGGGATGACGAAATACGGTCAGTAAGTCCAGTGGCGGGATACAGCGAAATACGGAATATCTGCCGTATACATAAATATATTACTCTTAGCTATTTATTCTCTATTTACGTAGTTCTCACACATTTCAACTCGGCTTTCTCACAAACTGCCCCTTATGCGTAGAAACAACAGTGCCTAACAGTATTAGGCTGTCTGGGGATTCGTTGTACAGTTTACAATCAATTAGGAAATAAGTACAAAATCAGCCAAAATTGTATCAGTCTGCCAGTCTAATTTGTTGGCTTTATTTTATTGAAGCGATGGCGTCGGTGACGTATTGATCGCGGTTCACGATATACGACTGAAAACCTTCGCGTTTGATATTTGAGACGTGCATGAGGTTGGTTTTTTTTAGTCCAGTGAAAATAGTATAAAAAATTAAATTGAAAACCAATACACATTTTTACTGGGGAAGTGAAGCCGCATGTAATCACAACTAGATATCGAGCAGAGATACCCAAAACCCAACGGTGGACTAATAATTACAGCATTAGTCTTATCCTAATAGCATTGTAGGCTAAAACCTCGAATTCAAACCTCATACTCACACACTTACCAATCGATCAGGGTATAGTATTTTTTTTATAAAAAGACACGCTTTTCCTTTCGAATAAGACTCTATATACAAAAAGCCACTGGAGTCTCACACGACAGGCATCGCGCCTGATGCCGAATCCAAAAAGATTACGATCATTCCGAATTATAGTAGTTTCCTACTTTGAAGTTATTGCCTATGCAGATCTTTGTTCACAGCAAAATGCGTATAAATATGTCGTTAAAAAACTCACAAAAAATTGAATGACTGCCATTTCGTTTTCACCTCGCACGTCAGGAATTTAATTTTATTCAATGATTCAACTCGATCACGCGGACCCTAATCTCTTAAATCTAATTCCGGAAACAACTCTTTTGACAAATAATATATTCATATAGAAGAAAAAAACATTTTATAACACAATTTACCAGTGACGTAATAAATGGCTCCATAATAATTGTGATGAGTTGTGTACACTGTTTGTCGCGTCGAGTACCATGAATATATTACAGGGAAATCGAAAATTTTGAAAATATACAAAACATAACCCGTGCGTTTAAATTCAGAATGCGGAGAGAGAGAACATTCGCGGACAAGCGTGGCGATGCGACCAACGTTCCCTCTAAGCTGCGAGGCTGCGCCGCCTCGCAGCTTGCCGAGAATCCCCGCGCAGTACTTTCGTTCTGCCGCGCACTTCATAAGTTTTAAAATGTTTAGAATGTTGTGTTCTTTTATATTTTTTCTAATTTTCCGCGCAAACCTTTTTTTTGGAGCTTACACGGCTTTCTATTCCGCGCAACTAAGCAAGCTTTTAGAGGGAACGTTAGGTGCAACCACCCGTAGTGGAATAAAAATCCCTTCCTAATTGGACAAATTTTGGGTGAAATATTGGGTCCCATACGACTCGAAAAAAATTAAAAAAATATACTAAACTGATAACATTTGCCAACATACTCCAACAACAACAAAAAAAGAGAATCTGAAAAAAATAACCATATGACATTTGGTGTCCAATAAACATTTTCTAAACGCATGACGTCGTTCATAATGTTGCTAACCCGACAGATTGTAATCTAATCTACATAATTGCAATGTTTTTGTGCCCAATTACTCAATAGTAAAGCTGTGTTGTCACTCAAAATCAGCTTTAGAAAATGTCAAATTAAATTACACCATGTATGCACGCACACCTGTATGACATACTGCCATCAGCAACAAAATTAGTTGACGTGACCATGAAATCAAAACCAAAACAGGCACAGCTTAGAAACCGACGTCAAAAGATGGTCCATAATACTGAAGAGCAAAAAAGGCCATTTCTGAAAAATGTGATTTGAGCAACTTTGGATTTACTGCTGCGATGTAAGGATATAAATAACATTTGTGCAAGTAGGGTGAATTTGCTATTATAGAGTTGCGGTTAGACTCATTTAAATGATAGAATACGAAATTTTTAGTCCGACTGGGGGTACTAATATATTGAGCTGTATTTCCTTTCTCCTTATCTACTTCCTACTTCGGATCCGCATGTGACCGTTGTCACAAATATGCTTGAACGAAATTATTATATTACATTTTATCAATATATCATTGCTTACATAGGAATAAGACATAAGGGAACTGTTGTACCAAACTGACTAAAATAACGCCTCCATTAAAATTAATCCTTCTTGCCTCGATTGAACTATCTGAAGCCATGAATTAAGCCAAAAAGTTGAGATAGGCAAACCGATAAAATTTGTAATATAATTATTAGTAAGAAGAGCGAACTATTCTACCAAATCGGCCTCAACAAATAATGATTTTAATAAAATGTACGCCTTTTGATCTCAACTGTGCTATCTGAAGTTTCGGATTAGGCCAAAAATGGAAATAGGCTATTCAAATATTAAATTTATATATTAATCATTAGTTACATACGTAAAGTATTCTATCAAACTGACATAATGAAATATTGCTTTCATCAAAGAGATAAATTTTAATTGCGGTATTTAGTACAACCATTTGATATATATCAATATGTTATTGTAATCATTGATAGCATAAGTGAACTATTTCATCATTCATTTGAATTATTGCTTTTATCAAAATTCATGCCCTCTGACCTCTATTGCGCAATCTGAAGTTACGACTTATAATAAAACGCTAAAATAGCGCGATCAATTAAATTTATATTATTGCACCATAAGTCAAACTGAGCATCATAGCTCACAAATTGCACCTACCAATATATCTTATGTTTACAGTAATATCCACTGAAGGGTGCTCCCGAAGTATGCGAACCAAGATGGCGGACATCGGAACGTAACATGGGTAACAGGTTAGGGTTAGGCGATAATTTTTTTCCAATTTTCCTTATTTTAGTCCTATTATCAGTTCGAAGACTAGCCAAGAGCCTCCCGTAGTATTTATACCTAAAATTATGGCCTGACCCTAACCTAGTACACATATTACATTCCGATGTCCGCCATCTTGGTTCGCATACTTCGGGAGCCCCCACTGAAGTATGATATAATAGCAGTGACTTCATATCTTAATTAAAGGTTGAACAAAAAATTCAAATTCTGAAATGATTGTTTTGATTAAAATAAAACTAATGGGATAACAAAATGACATAACTCTCGGAATAAGGAATATATTTATATATACAACGATTATTTTTGTTATAAGATATATACAGGAATTTCGCCTCGAACCTTCTTTTAAACAAACCCGTTTATAAAACAGAAATGCTTCCGCCGTCAGCGGGATAAGAAGTTCACGAGCCAGTCAACATGTCACAGGGATAAATTAGACCAATAAGTGAATAAAGCGGCGATCCAGAAGTATGTGTACCAATATCGAGGTAACTAATTTTGGTCGCCTACTCAACATCATCAAGTTGTGTAAAGGGACGGAAACCTATGTGGATATATTCACTTGGCCAACACAGAGAGTCCCCAAACTCATTATATAACTAAAATAAGAAAAATCGGAATAAGATTATGACCTAACCCTAACCGGGTACACATACTACGCGAGTACCAATGAAGCAATAAACAGTAAGACCACACTAACCTCCTCCAAATGCACGGTTTTTGAAAATACCATCTGGGTCGCATATTAATCCAGGCTCCGATATACCACAGCATTCAGGACAATATCGGGGGTCGGGCATATCCTCAGCAGTCCATCCGGTTTCGACTGTTTCCGAAATAGTTTTGTTGTCAGATGTGGAAGCTGACGACGCAGAATTGACAACCGCTGCCGCAATACAGTGATTAGTGGTAAATGTGAATATTGCGAGTAAAACGAGCGTGTTTATCCTGCCAGAGATCATTTTTATTTATATGTTAAAATTTTAGCTTGAAATATAAAACGAAAATACGATAAATAATGTTTCGATACAGAGAATATCGTTATAAATATCTTAGCTCAAAGCCCACCAGCACGCATGTTCTCCACCCTACGCGTTCATGGTTTGATAACTATTGCCTATATTTCTATATTGAAGCGAACATTGGTCCTAATACCCAGCCTCATAGTTCGAAAGTGCAAACGAATATGTGAAAACCCTACCTTTTCAAGCTCTCACTTAAGCTCTGAAGTAAACTAACTAAATAATGTTATGGATACTGATGTCGTGGATAAGGCGGTCGCAATGCGAAACGGCTGCCAAACCGCGCGAAGAGAGTTTATTTTGTTTGTCAAACAATGTAACACGCAATATATGTATACACACATAAAATATAAATAAATTAACAGATGCTTTTGGTATATGAATGGGAGGTAACGATACGACTTCTTGGTGTCATCAGAGTTTATTGTCACCAAAAGGACGTGAAGTACAACACCTCATCTCGAGATTTTAATTTTTTGGGTCGATTTTTCTATCTTTTTTCTCTCTTTCAGTATATACCTACAATCGCTATATAGACATACTAGCATTTGGAATAGGAGTCCACAATACCAATCTAAAAGTTGACTTGCTCTCTGTTCTATCCTATTCTTTCAAATGAAGAAATTTTTGCACCTAACACCCTTTGATACGCGGTTTCAATAACGCAGCCGTTCGCCTGAGGCACTTTTATGCTTTTGCTAAGGACATTACAAGTACTAATAACGGTAATTTAACATATCCATTATATCCGTATGAACCTTAAGGTCGACCAATTGTCTTTTATAAACCCGCACCGATGTAACTAAATAGGAGAGCGTTCACATTCGTACGCTATAATTTGGTTTTTACGTCTTTTTATGCTCATTTTTTTTTTCAGCGTGTCCGAAGGTAAATAGGATAAATATCGCGACCTGAATTTGCTCTGCTGGACGAGGCCAAAAGTTGTGATGGAATCATACGACCGGATGGTAGACGTCATCCGCTATATATATAAGTCTGCATTTTGCCCATTAAAAAAATTTCAAATTCTTATCCTGTCCACACGTCCAACATTTCTTCCCGTTTGAGCTGGCCTGTCTGATGAAAGCTTGTAAAATAACGTAGATGTTCGGCAGGTTTGCGAAGGTTAAGAATCACTGTACTATACTTGGTTAAATATCGACCGCCTAACTATTCAATCTTATTCTTTTAAAATTTGAATAAAGAAACTTTTACGTCTGACACACAAACTCGCATAGACGCAAAATGTTCTATTTTGGAGTTAGTGAAAATCGACCGGGCGATGCCAAAATATCATAAATAGACTACACCAGAATAGTTCTATATTAGTTCAGACTATAATGAAATATTACCATCAGTTGTGATGGCAGACTAAAATACCTGGTCTTAACAAAAGTAAACTTTCGACAACGCCATATGATTGATTAAGTCGTCATATTGGTAATTGAGTTCCGTACATTTGAACCCACGAAATTGCACCTGCATACTATTGTACATGTAAAAAAAAATTTGTTTTGCGGATATTTGAACCCATACTAACCTAACCCATGGGTTTTAGCACCCGCATATAGATTGAACCCGCGGATATACACATGGGTTCAAATGTACGAACACCTGGTGACTGAGTAAATGTCGCAAGTCTATCCCAAAGTCCCACGCTTCCTACCAATCAGGTATATAGGGCTTTGCTACCGATTAAGCTGACCTGTCTACAGAGAATAGAGCTCTGGTTATGTTGTAAAAAGGCTACCCAAGTCTTATAATTTACGCAAGGAGAGTTCTGTAATCTCGTAAAAATCCGAAAACATCTGCCTGTTTAGTTGAAACTTCCTATAACGTGATTAATCCATCGATTTGTCAGCGTAAAATTCAAGTTCGCAAAACAGTCTTTCTGACGACATAATCGCGAAGTCGATTCAGCGCGAGCGAGGTCGATTCAGCGAGCTGTCTATTTAGGTCGATTGAGCGTAGCAGACCACTTTAGTCCACTTAGATTCTGTTTTGAGCAAAATTCTGACCTCTAAAATTATTGATAAAAATATAAAGAAGTCTTTTCTCAATATTACCATCACGATGTATTCGTGTTTATGTTGTATATATATATTTTTTTGTTTATATGGGACACTTATTTAATTTGTTCTGCCGTATCTGAGTACTGTGTAAATATCCGTTTTATTATAATCATGCGATTCCGATAACCCATTACACGTACAAGAGAAAATATATCTATTACTCTCGTCTCCGACTGTTATGTCTGATGCTTTTGCTGCTTTGAGTGAGTTGCCGTATCAATGAATGACCAATCTTGGGTCTCCTGATCTAACAACCACAGTAGCAAAAACCTATCTGGGACAAATTTTAGTAAATTATCTGCTGGTCACACTGGGATAAAACAACCTTTCCTGTTCACACAGCATTGATTACAGCCATTGATGTATAGAAAATATATTTTTATAAACGCTATTTGAGTCATTATAGGCTAACGATACATAATGTCAAATTAGTATAAAGTTTTGAAACAGTGCGATCAAATCTAATGACGATATACGCTTGATAATATAAAAGATACCGGTTAACTAGTTTGGCACAAAAGCTTTAATGAAAAGCAAGAAACATGCTAACATGTATATTGATATCAAAATTGTTTTTGTAATGTTTATAGACCCAAATTGAATTTAAAAAGGTATAAAAATATACGTTATAGAATAGCTTCTTATATGGTTTCATGCCAAGCACACTGTTAGTTTATATTTCGACAAAAACTAATTCAGAATCAAAGCAGGGCATAAAATAAAAATTAAATACACATAGAAATTTGAAATTAAGTTTCATTACTAGGGTGTCTATCATATAAAATAATACTGTACTGTATTGTAATTATTAACAATACGTTTCCATCGATATGTAGGATATACAATAGTTTGGCAAATATGATCCACATGTCCCGAACTCACTACTCTATGTTTTACCATCGAGGATAAAATGAAAAATTGGTTCTTCTACAAAATAAAATTATAGTATTCACTCATTTATGCTAATGGTATGATAAAAACAGGTATTCATATCTATGTCAGGTTGTAGAATCTATATTACAATAATATAATACCGGAATATTGGTATTAAAAGATATCAATACAATTAAAAAAACAATATCATTTTCGATAAATTTTTTGCAAAAGTACTCTAAACCTCAAAAAAAGGACGCAATGAAGTGTTTGACGATATTGGCAATTCTGTTCGCCTTATAATCGAAGTCTCGCTGGATGAATATAACATTAAGCTGGAAATTTTGACGCGGGTTCTGTACAAAATGAATATCATATTTTAAATATTTTTAGTTATTGCGAAAATACCCTAAAATTCAAAAAATTAAATCGACTCGATAAAGGTCTTTGACGTTACCTTAGGATTTGAATATTTCTGTCCGTCATTGAAATCTAAGTTTTGCTTATCGAATACTTTCATAGCTATTACAAGTTTCGAAGAGGATTGGGATAAGAAGTAGCTGAGCTAGAAGTAAAACAAAGCTATTTTCAAGTCGAGCCTACAAAACGCAAAATTTCTAATAAATTTAAGCGTCACAGTGGAGATAAGAACGTGCCTTATTGGTGATAAATGAAGCTACGATAACATAACACTTCTACCGGCGCAAAGGACTATATAGTTGAGCATTTTATTGCTAGAATTTATAAACTACTACTCGGAATAAAACACATAATAAAAAGTTAAATAACGCAAATTATATCTACGTGAATTGATATAAAAAATAATTACGATTTTTAAAAAAATTGAGAAAAAAAATTCATCAGGACTTATTACAATAAAAATGGGAAGCTTAGTGTAGTCTTAAAATTCGTTGAAAAGAATTTTTTTATGTTATTTCGAAAGTGTACATTGCTGCAGTAAAACCGAAGTATAGCTGATGTCACATTTTTCAGAGATAGGCTTCTGCCAATATGGACCAAGAGCATGGGTTCAAAAGATGTACATTTTTTAGTATTATGTCTATTTTCAGGTTTGGCTGTGCAGATTTAAAAATAACACAAAATTGCGTTTTTTCTCAGAACCATAAAATGTGACATAAGCAAATTTGGTTTTACTGCAACAATATATGGGTTATGGGTAAAAGATATCAAAATATTGGTTAAAACACAAAAAAAATTAAACAAATTTTTATTGGGTATATTTTTTTAATTTAAATTACAAAACTTAAATTACTATGAAAAATTAAAAATAAATCTAATTTAAATTGTATTAAACATGTAAAAGGTGAATATAATGCTACGAAAACAGTGAGGGAGATCATTTCAAATTAGTCTACAAACAGATATAAAACATATTGAATTGTTTAAAGTCTTACATCACACCATCCTAAATTTTCTAGTGTAACGTTCAATCTGACTAATACTCAGCCTTTCTCAGACAAGTAGTTCACATTTATGATGGGAGAACAAATTTAACCATACATTGTGTCAACTAGGTAAGTCTTCTGATAATATAACGAGGCATTCCCAAACTTTCAACGCCACCAGCACCTAATAACTTTCACGAAGACAAGTATATTGACCACCGATCCTACAGTTTGTCTAATAATTAATACAGTACTAAGTAAATTCCATTCAGAAAACTATTACTTCGAAAGATTCCACCTTCCATGAGAAATATTCCACATAGTTAGAATATTTGTAGGAATAGTTTCATGGTCCCAATCGCCATTTGAATGGACTCCACGCAGGTGTATTGAACGGGCTGCCATTTGATAGCAAGTTTGATTTTAAGTGAGCTACACAATACGTTTACTGTTAATAAAGTTTATCACTTCACGGCAAAATGCAACCCTAACAATGACCATTTATATATTCTTCTTGAGAAGAATTTTCGGAAACCGCAAAATCTTTTCCAATAGCATTACTTTTTGATCGTTTAATCGACGCGTCCTTCCTTCGACAAAAATAGATTTGTTCATACACAAAGTGGCAATTATAAGTTTTAATTGTTGAACACTAATTATATATTAATTTAAAAGTCTATCTGAAAATTGACCAAAATTATTCTGTACGCGGTTATTTATTATTTTCTACCATATATCCGTTCACATATTATATTATATAAATCAAAATAACAGGTGTTGCTAAGTTAAAATATAAAACTTATTTGCTATTTGCGCTATCTGGTTGGAATTTGAGTTTGAAAGTAAAAAAAAAATCATAAGATAAACATATAAAAAGATAGCTGAACTAACTTCCTAAGCCACACTAGTATTCATATTGGGAATAATTACAGTGTCGAAAAAATATAGAAATTAAACACTACACTAGTAATATAAGGCTATGTACAAAGCTTCAGTTCAGTTACTGAAATATAAAAGTAAAAATCATCCTTAATTATCCTTATGGATTACCTACATTTACAAATACTTACTGTGTGACAATCGTAAATGCTATTCCTCAATTTCTGTATGCTAATAGAGTTTCCGATTCCGTGGGATACTGCTTTAAGTGAGCGATTGGGACTATTGCCATATTAGGAATTTCAAGTAAGAGATATAAAGTAGAAACGTGGCGTCATAAAGCATGACGACATAAAACGATGACATCATAATACCATCACTTAAGGATCATGACCCATAATTAAATACTACAGCCATTTACAGCCACACTATATTTAAAAGAAATCGCAATCAAGAAGTTCGGATAATATAAAAATAATAGAATTGTATTTAGATAATTTAAGCTTTGATATGTTTTAATTTCCACGGTATTTTTTCCGTTCTTTTGTTTGTATAGATGTGATATATTCTATTTATTCCCAAGCCATTATAATCTTGCTGAACGGAGCAAATATTCCTTTGTTTGGTGGGCTGCAAAAATAAATATCAATTATGATAGGTATAAAATTACATACAAAATACATAGGGTACGACTATCATACCTATCCCAGGTAGGATGAAATCTAATGAAACGGCTTAATGATACGGCAAACCGCGGCCTCTCACCCAGTTATCTGTAACCAAATATTCGTTTCAGATGAATGAACTTGGACGCTTTATTTTGACAAAAAAACACCATTATTATTCATTTCATTTTTGCGCTGACTAGAAATTTGGACATTGAGAGGGTTTATTTAGTGTTAACTAAAGTTTATCTCCGATAAAGTTTTGAGTTTTGAAAGAGGGCGACCTCAATCTAAAGAAATCAACGGATGCTATCGATACCAATATTTCACTTCATCGCCACAATGCAGACCACAAAGTGTCGTGCAAGAGCTAATACCATTCTAATTCAAGATGAAAATCCTGAGATACAATTGGGGGTACTCCCGTAGTATATGTACCAGGTTAGGGTTAGGCCATAATTTCATTCAGATTTTTCTTTTTTAGTACGATTACTAGTTCGGGGACTGTCTGTGTTTGCCAAGTAAATATACCCCCTGCCCATAGGTTTGAGTCTTTTTACACAAGTTGATGTAATATAGGCGAACAAAGTTAGTTACCTCAACATTGGCACACATACTTCTGGAGCGCCCAATTCGGGAAATACCAAAAAGGTAGCTCGTAATATATAACGAATATACGAACTTACCAACTGAAATACTTCGAGCCTTGAAACGTTCCACAATGCTTCCCGTCTGTAAAAAATAGAAATAAATCAGTTGATGGGATTATTGCTTGTTTTGCAGGTGTCTAGTCAGAGAGCCCAATGGCAACGACTATAACGATATTTATATATATATGAAGAGGATTTGCACTGGTGTGCCATTTGTTCTCACAGAGTCACTCACGCCCTATTTATTTCCAGGCAATTTCGTTTGATACCAGAATTAAAAACTTTGACTCAACTGTCTTTTATGAAGTTTTGTAAGACTTTTCGACGGAAATAACATTCAAGAGGTCAAGTCACTTCAAACAATTTAAATCAAGATCATTAATTGTCATGACACGAGGACTTAATCAATCAACGCTAATGGACCACCCACCAGTATATTCGTTTTTTTTTATTTTGACGTTTTTATCACAAGTACTGGTGTCTAAACACTTCTACAGCTTAGAGAGCACGCCAATGTTTATCAATGATAATATTTTCCAATCAAATAAAACATAGCTCACCAAAATTATCTGATTCAACTCCGACAAATACTTCCGATCTTCCCGGTAGATGACCGACGTATTTCACGTTGCCACGACTCACTTTTCCACCGGGCCTTGTGAATTTAATTGCATATCCTAACTTGAGATCGGATGGATTTCTTGGCGCAAATGCACGTCTTGGAAGTGACCGACTGATTTCTGGAGGATACCTGAAATTGGTAGATAAATGAAGCGTTTTAATGCAAGAGATGAGCTTTTCAGAAATGAAAAAAGAAAAGTGTAGCTGAATATATGTAGCTGTTATTCCGGAATTTGGTGTCGTATTGCCAGTTCAAGAATGTGCAAGCTGATCCATATTAGAGATGTACCGATACCACTTTTGTCGCCGATACCGATACCAATCCGATACCAGCTAAAAACGCCGATACCGATACGCCGATACTACAAAAAGGCCGATATTACCGATATTCCGATACCGATACTATGTGATTATTACTTAATTAGGTGTGCTGTGTAGGGCAGACGGGTTAAAACAATGGTCTTTGAGCGTTGTTCATGGTACACATTATTTCAGATCGAAAAAAAAGATATATCACATAATATGAAATTGATGTTTGGTGTTTGCTTCAACTGATTAAGATACATTGTACAGTAAGGCTAGTAATCTCGGTGTTCAATTGAAACTCATAAGCCGGGATATCCAATTTGAACTTGATATGAATATCGCGACCTTCGAATATCGTTATTCGAGTTTAAAAGAATATCGAATATCACCCACACATTCTAGCGCCGCCGTCCTACGTTCAAATTAAAAGCATTTTAATAATATTTTTTTTCGTGGCTAATCGTAATCGTCGACGCAATAAGTCAAAGCCAAATTGAAAGAATATCAAACAGCACCGACAAAAAGAAGGCCTACCTATAACCGTCGAGGATGTTTTTTTACTTTACTATTTTATAATATAAAATATTTTACAATTGCTATCATAAATTTTGAATTTCGAAATTTAGTTTATCGATGTCGACGGACTAAATGACACTCGTACTTGACGTCAAACAATCCAGCATTTATAGCCGTGCCAAAAGTCCTTGTGCCGTTAATAAGGACCCCAATTCCACTGTATGATTTAAAACTGGGCGCCTAGTTGCTTTTTGTTATGTGCTGTGTTGATATATTTCTTCATAATTACTATGTAATATTAAAAATGTCAATATAAAAAATTGACAGCAAAAATAGCCAAATTAGTTGAACTAGTTTGGCTGATAAATAGCTAAAAACACGTGAATCCTATTCTTTTGCGGGGGTTGGGACATGTATGTCTCATAGCGCACGATCTCTCCAGACAAAAAATAAATTAAAAAGTAGTATTCCAACTTATCTTTTAAAACATTCTGGACCATATCAAAAAGATAAATATATCGAAAATATCGGCCTTGATTCAACCGATACCCATACATGGCCGATACCGAAAAAATGGCCGATATTGCCGATACCGATACCCGATACCGATACATCGGTACATCTCTAATCCATATCACATGTTAAACCTCGTTTTATTGACTAAAGTATGCCATAATCAAACAGAAAGATTCCGGTTTTCCCAAATGATCGCACCAAAATACCCAAGTTATTGTTTAATCTGGTTGTAATAAATATGGACAAATATGGCAAACCAGGCCGATTATTTCGAACTCAGAAACTATCTGGATGCCTACCCAGAGCCTTGTTAACGACGATACACTTCGTACAACGAATGAAAAATACAACCAATTTTTTGCATAAACCAAATATCTGCCGTCGAAATGTATTATGAATTCAGATTGTATTACATATAAAGAATTCCGAAAGTCGATAGGCGCATGAAATGACTTACTCAGTTGAGCATTTAGAAGACTTCGTTTGTGACGACATATTACGTGGACTGCAGGATCTCTGTCCTCTATTGCAGGGGCTGACAGATCTCTGAGCTCTGGTCCGAGGGCTGATGGATCGATACCCGGCTGCACCAAGAGGAGGGGATGTTGATCTAGAACGAGATGTTGGAGTGATTCTTCCGCCACCAGACCTTCTTGAACAATCCCGGGATCGCCCTGGGGAACCTGAAATAAAAAGGATCTTTTGTAAGAAAGTTCGGAGTATCGTTTTTGTAATTATATATACATACGACAAAACGCCAGTGCACAGTTTATCGTTTCAAATAGTGAAATATAGAAAAGAGAACGTATTTACGATTCAAAACGTTAAATGCCGCTAGTTTTGGAACATTTTTGGGTACATTACATGCTATGAGCTATATGTGTATATCAGTCGTTTTTGCGGCATGTCCTTAAATAGTCCATAAATTTAATTTGTCAAGACTGAAATGACCCGTACGCCGTAACAACATCATACAATTACATAGTATTCCTTGTCACTCATGGTTAGTGTCTTATATTAAGACAATAAAAGGGCGAGACTTGAACGTATGTTTCGATTTTTTAATGAATTTGATATGTTGAAAAACTAATTAATATGGGGTGTTTTCACAATGTATAAAAAGGAAACCAACTTTCAACATATCAAATTATACTTCTTCTAATACCAGTTCGTTAACTTGATGATCAATTAGCAATAAATCAAAAATGGAAATATTGGATTAATTGCTTAAAAAAATTTTTTTTTTTCAATTTACCGTATTTAGTATTCAAGTAGGATAAATTGTAAAACGTATAGCTTTTCGGTTGCGCGATTTCTTAGAGTACATTAGATAAAAGATTAAAATGCCACGTCGAGCAAAACTCATCGTATTTCGCATTCGTATTGTTGGCGAGTGGACGTCGGTTAGTTAAAGAACTGACGGCCACTCAAGCTTAAAATCGTTGACAACGGCCTACATATGTAAAAATATTCATATCTGAATTCGCATTTGAACACCTGGAAATAAGCGTTAGTTATTTTAATCATTCAATTCAATTTCAAGCGCATATACTCATTTATTCAAAGGTTCAAATATAATCCATGCTTGACTTGCCAATATTGTAAAACAACTAGCAAAACTACACGCATTTTACTGTTAATCAAACTCCTGGACTCAAACTGATTCTTTCTAAATAACGTTTTCACACATTTGTCCAAACAAGGCTTTGTACACTTAGTTACAGATACTTATGGCGCTCCTATTTTGAAAACAACCTGAATCTTCAGTTTATGAGAATAATATCTTGCAAATATCCGGACATTCACGACCCAACATAATCCACAATTACCTCTGAATATCAGTAAAATATCTGACAATTCGTTATTATTTCTCGGTCATTTCAAAACTTAAAATTCCAAATACAACGTTTGGATCATTCGTCTATGTTATGTTAAGACTTTAAATCTCATTCAGATTCAACCGACAAATTTGAGAACAATGAAAAGTCAACAAATAGAACGCCGTTGTTATAATATTTGTATTTGAACAAGACGCTTCGTGTCATATATTGTTTTATTCACTAAAAACTTTTTCAAGGTGTCGATGCTAAAAAATAATAATGACCAGCAATTATCGAAAATACCGAGCGCAGTTTTTCCCAACTTTTTAGGCTCGTGGCCTCCATATGGAAGCTTTTAGCAAGCACTCATGGCCCCTTCGTTATAATTCCAGTTGTATTTATAGTGTTATCTTAATTCGTAGGTTACAAATTCCATTATGTTCGAACAATTCATGCTCAACAAAGTGGAAACATCCCGTAAAAGGACCTCATAAAGCAATGAAACTAGGAAGAACGAGGATTTTTCGTGTAAAGGGAAAAGTAAAATCAGTTTTGCATCTAGCATTGTGACCCCCCTCAACTGTTTCAACTTGGGGGACCCCGGGCCCCAATTGGAAACCGCCAGCCTTGCGGTTAAAGCGTTGGACTTGGCTATGTTGTCATCGGCTCCAAATCTGATGCCCACGACGAATTCATTCAGGTTGTAATAAATTTAGTAGGTAATGTTGAACTGGAAAGGGACCTGTCCTCTCAAAGTGCAGTAGCTCATAACCTAACACGATTCATATTTGAAGAATAAGGTGACAGCGCCTTAATTATATTATCGAATATAATATTTTTATATCAACCTCACGCCGATATAAGGCCTGCGCGTGAAATTTGTGTCTGATTAACTATGAAACCATTTATCTGTGACCGTTATTCGAAATGCAATGCCGATCATGGTTCGCCGTCGAAGGTAAATTACCACTAAAGCGGGTTTCATTAGATTGTCCATAAACTGTGAAACTGGTTTAGTGTGTTTGCACACAGTTTTGCACGCTTATATGTGTGACTGAAAGCACGAACAACGTATGATAGACACAAATCTTTAAAAACGAGCTGAGGCGTACGAACCAACAACTGACAAATGCCATTTGAAACTACATTTCAGATTTGATTAATTGTTTTTTCGATGTGTTTATGTAAAACATATAAGTAACGAAATACTAGATAAGTGGGTCACGAGAAATACTAGGTAAGTGCCAACGCAAACATTGAAAGAGCTATTGCTCCACAAAAGAATCGAATACAAACCGTATTGCCAATCACCACGATTCCAAAATAAATAGTCAAATTCTATCGTTTGGTATGTTGACAGAAACGTTTCAAGTTTGACATTCGAGCGAACAAAGCGTTTCGTGTTTAAAATAGTCGACCTTCGACTGTTAGCGGGATTAGCGGACAATTGTTATATTAAATATCGTGCGATAATGATCGTATTTCTGTTGGTATAGTTGAAGCTTGTATTGAATTTTATTACTCACGACATAAAGCCAAACTGTGGTTGAACTTTCAGATGTTTTTGGACTTGGGTGATTTTATTTAAACAAATTTTATAATATACACGTACGACTATCCTACGTGATCGATTAGATTAGTCAACTTTGAACTATATATCTCTAAAAGGGTATCCCCATGCCATAACCGTCCACTCAATAGTGGGTACTCCCGTAGTGGTTGCTCCCGGAATATTCGTACCATATCGACCTGAACATAGTATGTGTACCAAGTTAGGGTCCTTCAGGTTGTGCGTCTTCTTGGTACGAATACATCCGGAGCGCCACGTAGTGTGTGTACCAGGTTAGGCCATAATTTTATTCCGATTTTACTTATTTTAGTTCTATTACGAGTTTGGGGACTGTCTGTGTTAGCCTAGTGAATGTACCTCCGGCCCATATGCTTCAGTTCCATTACAACATTTGATGCTGAATAGGTGAACAAAATTAGTTACCTCCATATTGGTACAAATACTTCTGTAGTGTCATTTCAAATATACCCTGCATCACGGGTCATCCGAGTCGTGCGCAATCTTTGGAATCAAATTCATCTCTACTTTTTGAAAAAAACATAGACCCTCATTGTATATTTAACGTAAATGGCTTTGTTTATAAGTCATTAAACTCATAAACACCTGCAGTTATCAGCAAGTGCCCAAACCAGGAATCGCGAGTAGCCAAGTGATGGTAACTGACTCAGATGACTGTAAAAGGTCGTATCGTTACCACCAAGTCATCTACCGCGAACTTAATTTTCTTATTTTGCTATCTTGTATATTTTATGTGTTTTGTGGTTAGGCGAAAAATAAATAAATTCTCTCCTTCTCTCAAAGTTGAGTGACAAAGCATGCGAAAAGCGTCAGCTTCCATACATGGTGACATCAAATTACAGAACCAAGGTTATTTGTAACATATTCTAGAAAAAGAGTTTAAAGAGTCCTGGGTTACTTCTGGGTAGAAGGATACATAAACAGGAGTTCGGGTGTTGATTAAATTTTTCTCATCTTTGTAGAAGTAATTAAGATAATTTATGGGTTTTCGTTTTTAGATTTACCCTGTATAAGTTAACACCACTTCAGCCATTGTTGGAAGAACCAACCATTAAATAACGCAGATTCCACGACGACACGGGACGACATGCAACACCGAAAACTGTAAATATAAATTCTACCGTGTTTCTTGAGCCAATCAAGAATATCAATCTCACTCGATCGAGTCGTTCCATTCACTATTCTTGGCTTGCTTGATTCGTTGAATTCAACGTCATCGTCTTCGTCATCAACCATTAACTGACGTGCACATGATGATGACGTCATATTCTTAGATCCGTTTTCAGAACAGCTTGGCTTAAGAAGAAATTCAGTGCTGTCGCTGTCCAATGAACGAGGAGATTCTCCTGAATTAATAGGCAGAAAATCAAGTTGTTAGAAGGACAAAAATTGCTGTAAGCAAAGCTTATATAGCAGTGATGCGCCCCCTTTTTCGAAATTGTATAGTATGAATAATGAGCTACGAATATCAGATAGTAAGGCGAACGCATGTTATATAACGTTTATACTTGACACCTGTATGTTCAAAGTATATTTCATGTTATTTTTTTTAAGTTGCCATTCAAAATACCTACAATTGTCGGAAAACAAGGCTATAATCAACTTTAAAAATCTTGCAAGAGATTTACTTTTATTAGTCTACAGCGCAGAGTACCATGACAAACCACTAAAAACCTTGCAAAAACACAGGAAAACTTGAAATCCACCAAAAACCCTGCAAAACGTGCAAATACCGTGAAACATCTTGCAAAAACAGCGAAAAGCCGTAAAAAGACGTCATAAACCACCAAAAATCTTGCAAAACGGGCAAAAACAGTGAAAAACGTCAACTTATACCTTCCATATGCTTTTGATATCTGTCCATAGTTAAATCTCTCAGGTTAAGCGCAACCGATGGCGACATGTTCTTGTCTCTCATCACACGTTCTGCTGCATGCATAGTAGCCGTTACTGCCGCGAGTGCATCTCCTGCCGCGGTTCTCTCTGGTTGTGTATCGGAAAAACGGACACCCTGAAAATTAAAATTCGGAAAATAAATTTTCACTGTCACAATATCAAAACAATCAGAAATTCATAGGTTTTACGAGCATATAAGAATTATGCCAGGTATATTAAATATTGCCGAATATAAAAGTTTCAATTGGGCATTCGCTCCACTTAGTCGAAAAAAAATCTATAAGACAATTCAGAAATGAATTTTGTTGGACAAAAGACAGAAAAAACTATTTTTATGTGCTATGTGATCGTCTGAACATTTTTTCAAATACGAATTTTTCATATAAATACATAGAGAAACTAGTGATGATTGTTCTACTGGGGGCCTCGGGGTGTGGCAGATGGCACAAGGTTGTCTTTTTGCACCCTTGCCTTTAAAATCAGTTTTTTAGTTGAAGTATAGTCGTAAATTGAACATTGTAAACTGCTGATATTAGCGAATTAGATTGCTCGTCGAAGATAGAGGGGACGAAAACCCGTGACACAATATCCGCTTCATTTTAAAGGTTTTATGTGCTCTACGTAGCTCATTGATATTAAATTGACAACCTAGAACTTAGATTTCTTTGGACATCGAGATTGAAACCACATTTAATGCGTTTTACCTGGCCGTGTAAATTTTTCTCAAATATTAAATTTCTTCTTTTGAATTCCTTAAAGAAACTAGTTATTTTACTTATCTATACAAATGATTTATAGGGGGCTTATTTCACATCAAATAATGATGGGAATACATATGATTCAGAATGTCGTAAGTGCAGCGTCGCTTCTGTTTACATTTTGGAATTATACAAACATTTGCGGACGCCGACTTTTGTGCTCAAATAGAATGTTTTAAAATCTATTTAAACTAAATGATAGTTTGCATGTGTCTGATCTTCTTCTAGTCGTATACCGGTATTCCCTGAACCGTTACCGGTACCATACCGGGATGCAATCGTGTTCTTCCACTGTATTCTAAATTCGCATCGTCATTTACTCTGTATGTGCCAAGTTCTGTTTTTCACTTTCGACAACTTTTTATCATATAACCTAAATGTGAAAGAAATGCATGCTTCAGCATGCATCAGTTCATTAAGCCAGTAAAGTTCTGTCAAATTGAAATTAACGTTGCTGGGCACGCCGATCCAGTTTTCAAAGTGCTTAGTCATGTTAATAAGCGTTATTCTCGTTTAATTGTGTACATTGAGGTATATTGCATTCGCTTGATGGCGCCCTTGCGCTCGTCAAGCGGTACCGGTTTCCTTAATTAAAGTCCTCATGGCTCTTCATATTTCCGTATTTTATTTATCATCCGTTGTTGTTGTTTCTATGCTTTTTAGTACCGTATTGTACGTGATAAACCCAAGTCTTTTGCTATATCTGTTGCTGTAATCCAGCATATAGGTGTCGCTGACACGATGACTTAACTGTCTTTCGCGACTCCTCGTCAATTGCGAAACATTGTGTATTTTTGATTTATTTAAATTTATTATTATTTGTTGACAATGTTTCATGCACGACGAAATAAAATATCTGAATCTGAAATCTGCCCTTTACCCCTATATTCGATGTCATTCTTTCCTTTACTAATAACGTTAGAGCAACTATCCCAATTTGCGACCGAGCTTAACATAAATTACTTCGATTGCGACAATTTATACATAGCAAGAACATATTATCAGCAAACTATTTTTAGGGTCTGCAGTTTTAGCTGCAGTTTGTATTTGCGACTTAAAATGAGCATGTTGGAATAGTATAGGAAAGAGGAGTTCCAAATGGAGGCCCCCCTTTAAAGTGGGGTATATCATTTTTAAATATAAAAGCATGATCCACTATTCAAATATGCTATGGCATGAGTATTAATGCAGCGTCTTATTTCCATGGCACTATTTACCGCCATAAATCGATGGTATAAATTGATGGGCCATTGGTAATAATTACCTAGAACAATGTACCGATATACATATATTTACTGTGAATAAACCATATATAAAATTCAGTGGAATATTGGTCGCCTGGAACCGCTTTTAGTTGAGGAATCGATCCCTTGCTTTGAGCGACATGTATAAAGAAGTATTACAAAATTTGACGTTAATTTTCAAGACACAAGTAGGTGAGAAAGCAAAAAGTCAGAGTTTCATTAGCATCGATAACTACTAAAATTGACATCTTCATTTTGATATGTAAATAAAATAATATTAAACAAAAAATTATTTGTTGAGATATTCTGTAAAAATTTAAAAACATTTTACCATGATTGATGAAAATAACAAACATATCGCAGTCACCTGAGATGTGGCCTCGGACACAAGTTTCATGTTTTACTTGAGCGAATAAAACCGCCAAACATCGCGTTGGCTCAAGATTTATTAGTTTATTAGTTTACTAAGTCGTTTCATAACCATTTAGCGTCGGCACTACAGGACATAATATTGACTGAAGAATATTATTAGTGACAGCGCTGCATTTAAAACGCTTTGCATAGTTAGCAATATCATTCTGGGACGAACAGCAGAACAAAAATGTCAAACAATCTTATACAGTTAACAATACTTTTTCTGACGAATATTGGAGAACCAATTTTAATCAGCCTTCCTTAGCACTTGAGCGTGGCATACTATTGACATTTGTTTCATAGCTTATTATAACCACAATGCAAATATATAGCTGAAACATATCGACAAAATTGTTGAATCTATCTATTCTTACTCACAGGAATTTTTTTTTGCCATCCATAAGCCCAATCGATGTCAAAACTAGATATTGACAAAGTATTTAAAGATTGCATTAAAGACGAAAAGTGGAATAGCGGTTGGTAGTTGGTACAATACAAATTTCCCTCGACATTTAGTTATATTAAATCGAAATAATTACGATTATTTCACACGCAAAACTGAAGAACAAGTAAGAGCCTTGCTTAAAGTCTTGCTCATAGAGAATTTTACTATACGAGTCATTGTCAAACTGCGATTATAAATTTGTGCCATTGCCTGTCTTCTGCGATTGTAATGTCGTCTACTAAGCAAATATAGGTGAATTATTACATTTTCAATAATATTTTTAATTGCCAAACAAAATAAATGCATGTGAAACGAGATACTAAAACCATGACGATTTAAAACATTTCTCTCATGAATATTACGAGGCATTTCCATTGTCCACGCTTTCTGGTCGCTGCTAGATATGTTCTAAAAATTGACTTGACTAATAAAATATGGCAACCCACCTTCGACGAAGAAGAATGCTGAGATCTTGACGGTGAACTTCGTCTAGGGCTGCACGATCTATGTGGACTCGAAGATCTTTGCGGACTAGAACTTCTCAAGCAAGGACTACGAGCTCTTGGACTCCGAGGAGTGACGTCACCAAGTCTCTGCTTCAATGAACGAATCTCTTCTAGCAATCTGTCGTGTTCGGATTGGTAATAGTCGATCTTTTCAATAAGTTCTTGCCTTGGGTCTGTGACAAAAACGAAAATATGTATTTAAAGTGAAAGTATCAAAATACACTTCTGAACATTATTTAATGTTTAGTTTTAGCCCGAATTTCAAAAAAAATCCAGTGAATTTTGGCTGTTCTGAGGGATTCGGGAGTATATACTATATTTCTGTAATGTTTCGTCTCCCCAAAGTCAAGACCGTCTCATATATTTAAAGAATGAAAGATACTTTGGCAAGGTTCTCTAATATGTATGAGCTACATGGTGTGACGACAATGGCTTAGTTGTTAGAGCTCAACTATGTTGGTGTATCAAGTTAAAGATTAAATTTATTACATTTATCAAATTAAATGACCGCTAACTCCCCTGGGTATAATTATTTTGATCGATTATGGGAAACTAGGAAGATTCCCGCTTTATTCGAGTGAACGTGTGAAAACGCATTATAAAAAAAAGTTCAATCGTCTGATTTAGGAAAATCGTTATACAAGGTAAATGGCTAATAGGAAATTTTTTACAACCTCATTTCATATATAGGGTGTCAATGAAGTCTGCAAATTTTTTAAAATTATAAAGGCAATTTATTGATACCATATATTGTTTTGGCCCTCACAGATGTATTAAATGACGTAAAAATATCTGAACAATTACTGATTTAAAACAAAAAACCTGGTTAAGATATATCGAGAACTGACTTTATAACAAAAATTGAAACCGTGAGAGGACTTTATGGACACCCTGTACATGAATAAAAAACTAGGATCCCTATAAGTCTTCATCTACTGTTTAAACTTTGACTACTGTTTAGCAACGATGGTCACTAATTTAGCCAAAGTGTCTTCCCGTTCATTTACATATTATAATAAGTTAGTATTTTAATGTTGACTCACCGACATTTCGGTTTTTCGAAATGGCATCAATATGTCGTCTGAGATCTCGAACTTCCATTTTTAGGCCTCTATTATCTTCAGTAAGCTCATGACAACGATTCCGTAAATCTCTCGCCTCTTCTCTCAGCTCACACAGCTCGCCTTGCAAATCTGCGGCGTCAGACGCCAGCATAAGGTTCTCCGCCGACAATTCGTTCAATCTTTCCATCTAACAAGAAAATAGATTACAACTTAGACTAGTGCTTTTAACCTTTTCGATGGAGCGAAACCCCGATGAAACAATCCAGAGGACCAAGGAACCCCTGTACAAGAGTTTAATCGTCTCTTATTGTCTGAACGGTGTAAACAATGGATATAAATATAACAAAATGATCTTAGGTCCACCAAGTTTACTGATAGTAGCAAACCTAATAGGTATTTTATTATATCTAAACGATATACATATAATAATATAGAATAGACTCTCGCATTCGAATGGACTCTACTGACAGAACATTAGGGGGCCTCGAACGTGCAATAATGCGTTGAAGATGAAATGTGTTAAGGTGGGCGAGATGGCCCAGCGGGAAAGGCCACACTCAACTGTGTTCGTATTCCAGGTTATACTTAATGGGCAGACAATGCAGAACCGGAAAGGTTACTGTCCTAAACATGGAGTGAAATGAAAAAGACACAAAGCTTTTTCTCACAGACTCAAGGCCCAAGGTAGAGATGCAAAATCGTGAAGACTTGAAATCAAGTCTTAAATTAAAATTTTGATAACAAAAACTTTGTTGTAAGCTTATTGAACGAATGAAATTTCAAATTCGACTCCTTAATGCAGGGAATTCAGAACTTAAACTCTGACTCCGGAGAGTTCTAAATTCCGGCTCCAACTCTGGAAAACATACCGAACTCCGATTGCACATCCTATGCCTGAGGCTTATTGTAATTGATTATAACGTACTTTGTCCTTCATGACGCTGTTCTCAATTTTCATTTCAGCAACTTCCCTTTCGTATCCCCTTCTCATTGAATCGCTGCTTTGACGCAACGAGTCTATCTCTGACTCTGCACGTGCAAGCTGACGTGACCTGGTGTAGAAAAGTACAATTTTAGTTTTTCCAATCTTCACAAAGCTGAGAAATGTTTTTAAAAAGCTTCGTAATTTTAGAATTTTTAAATTAATGGAACCTAAACACGCATGCATTTGTGTTCATTTCTTATTATATATAACGAATTGTCGCTTGACAGACTTTTTTGAAAAAGCATTTATGTATCTTCACCCCAAACAAGGTTATACATAGGCAACATTTGGCATGTGGATGATAGTTTGGAGTAATCACAATCTTAAGGCAAATAAAACACTATTGGGACATTATTCGTCATAGCAGAATGACTCAAGTTTTGAACCGTTGTGACTTCAAATGAAAATATTCTTGGTTTGAAACAGGCTTCTGGACAAAAGGGTTAATAAAGAAGTGAATCTTAGGGTGGATAAATGTTAAATGAACGCGCTCTATTCTCATATTCATAAAAATCTCATATGAGCACGCTACTTACTTTGACATTTGATAATAGGAGCGGCAGACATCACTACCAACATATACCAAAAACATTCCAATATCAGTAGTAAGTTTCCAGATTCAGCTTTGCCCCTCAATTCGGATGAAATTAGGACATTGAGTAGTTCGAAAAAAATCAATCACAATTTCATTTGAAGAAACAAATAACCTTTTCGGTCGGTTCAAATCTTACACCAGCAGCTCTTTCATATGCTTCTTTGTGTAAAGTGAATTCGTGAGAACGACGAATAGAAAATCGGAAAAATTGGCGCAAAAATTATTGATTAAATTTATAAACCTACTTCGTATCATTCAAATGCTCCAATTCCTCTAATTGTTCCCGTAGACTCATAAGAACCGGTATTGATGAAACAGAGATTAGAGTTAAAAACAGCCGTGAAGGCTTATACGTTGATTATATTATCTATGCTGTAATGAAATAAGAGGATTTTCAATTTATCTCTGGGAAATATTGGTGACTTTGATCGGATTTCTGATAAACCTGATTCGTTATGTTAACACCTTCGAGAAATGAAATTTCTGTAGATTGCAATCATCCCAAATTTAGCAAATATGAAAATATTTCGACGGAAGGGAAAACAGTTTAGGTTTTATATAAGTCAACTCTTAATTTGAACACCGTTACCGGTGCATCGCGAACCTCAATATTATACAACAATATTGGGATAAATTATCCATTCAATGACAAAATATATTTTGTTAGTGCCTTCTGCGCTATTGTGGATAGTGGTTTAATTTGTTATAAACGGGTTCACTTTTGTGTCTATTATGATAAGAACGGGTTCCCTTGTTTTATAAATCACGGCGAACTCATATACCTTGTGGTGGACGAATAGCAGCTAGCTTATTGCTGAGACATAAAGATGATCCAAAATATTGCTTGAAACGCGTTATTTGTAAAACTTAAAGACATAAAAAACAAGAAGAGGTTGTCCTGACTATCGTGACATTCCAAGAACCCCCTGAATTCCACTATTGATTGTGGCTCGCTACGAAGGAGGTGATTCAAATGGCGATTCTGGTCGTATATCTATCCTTCCTGCTCGATTATGGCCGGTATTATAGGCAGAGCAGCACGATCGATAAATAGCCTGCGATATTCGGAAACTAATTTTATGGCCTCATATATTTGTAACCAATGTAAATTTGAACTATCCCCTCATTCAACTACTGATCTACGTTTAATTGCAAATTGAATAAATAACTTACGTAGCCTCTATCTTTACTTTATACTTTCACTTTCCAAACCAGTTATATCAATGAGATTTTGACTAGTTAGGAGCTTGTGGCAATGTCGAAATTTAATTTTATATTCATATAACTTGAAACATAGAAATACTATATTTGCGTATAACTTCACACCATTCCTGTTATAGAGCCATGCTCTACAATTAAATTCAATTTGACCTGGTCTTGCAGCCGACACAATACATTAGTTTTACATTCACAGGCCAAACCCTTTTGCCTACGGAGACCAGCTCGTGGCATTAAAGACATCATTTTATTAGCATATAACTTTACATATTTTTTGTTACAACGCCAGACTTTATCATAAATACAACGCGGCCATGTTTTATAGCCGGCACTGTCCGTCAATAGAACTCAAATGAGCCAATATTTTTGTCAAGGTATCAGTCAGCTCGTCGCATTGTCGTACTTTTGCTTTATAATCATATAACTTCGAAATATCTCTGGCTAATGTCAAACATTATAATTGATCAAACGCTATCCGTCGGAATGATATAAGCCAAAACTTATATCTAGACAACTGATTTCACATTTTTCCCTTCGCAAGAAAACCCGTTCTTCATAGTTTTATTGCTGCTAGATTATTAAAGGTTATTTCACAGGGTGTTTTCACTTTGAGCATGAATTGTTTGAGCATACTGAAATTTAGGATCCACCAATTAAAATAACACCATAAATACAACTAAAAAATAACCGAGGGGGCCATGAGTGCTAAAAAGTCTCCGGAAGAGGGCCACGCGCCATAAAAGGTTGGGAACCACCGATTCATAATCTTAAAACTTAACACCTACCACTTGCTCATACCAAACTATAAATTATAATTGACAAACTACAGGACGCACGCGCTTGTTAAGTGATTCCTCAGCAATGCCATGTCTTTTTATGTACACAACACCTCGTAACATTAAAACGTTACTTCATTACCATACACAAGTTACTTCACAAGTTTTCTGTTATAATAAATCGGAATAAAATTATGGCCTAAGCATAACCTGGTACACATACTACGGGAGTACTTATTTTTGTCTAGATACCAGCTCACAATATTGTCTAAATTCCAATTTATCAATAACTTCATACCTTTCTGTTGTAATGCTGAAATTTAGAAATAATCGAATGCGGGCTTATCTAGAAAATCATCTATACTTTACGTGAATATGTCAAACTTTTCATCTAGGTACCAGTCCACGCATTGCCGAAATTTTACCGGTATCTATTCATTAACCGGCTTCCACTTCACTCGACTAAGTACATGTTACGTATTGTTCTCGCACTCGAAATCCGTTTTGTCCTAAACGTGCTTGATGGATTATTACTGGAATGTTTTTCGTAGTTGAACAAATTGATCAGCCGGATTGGACCACGTGTGCCCGATGGGAGAAATATTTAAATTAATAGAAATGAGGCCCGTGAGGAGTTTTTGTGGCATCATTTTATTTCATAACATAGAAAGTACATTTATATCGTCGAAAGAGATTATGTTATGCTTCTGTATAACTCTTACACTATCTCGCACCCCTGTCACATAAGGATTCGAAGCAGTGAGCGAGCAATGAGGAAGGATCGCAGTTCAATAAGAACTACCCTGGTTGCCTAGTACCATATGTATATGTCTCGGCATCTTGGATAAATGTCAAGGATAAATAAAACACAGCCGGGGTAAAGAAAAACGATGTAATTTTTCAACGTTTCGAATTTCTATACCGAGAAACTTCCAATTGAAACTTTCCGTATCACTCCCGGATGAAGTTTTTCTAGATAGAAATTCGAACGTTGGCAAATTACATCTTTTTGCTTTACACCGGTTGTGCTTTATTTATCCGTGACATGAATATACCTGTTGGCAATCATGCGACAACTTGGATTAATTATATAACTTTGAATACATATATAACAATCGCGGATCAATATCAATTTGCTTTTGTAATATGTTGAGTAATTTTAAAACGCTAAAAAAGCCAAATTAGCCCAAATAATATTGTTGAATCCTATCAACTTCATACTGCGCCTACAACTTACGCCTGAGCAATTATGTAGCTAGCCCCTTGCTCTTATCCCCGCAGTGAAATAGCAGGGATTTCGACAAGGCAGTAAATAAGAATATAATTTCTCAAGGAGAAAGAACTAGTCCTTCCTCTGCCCTTGTCGATCAAAAGTATAATTCCATATTCATCGAAAAACAATAATAATATTCCTCAAGGTCGTCCGGGGTCTATGACGAAACAATATCAAACATAACCTCTCCTAGTTTGAATGAAGTGGGATCGTTTCAAGTCGGTCTGCTATGGTCTTCGTTTAAACTTTTAACATAAATACATTCATGAATGGCCTATGCTACTGATATATTACCTTAACGCTTAATCTACGGTATTTACAGTATCCAAAACATATATCGAGCCACCACATCTCGACCCTGTGGCAAATTGCTACAAAGGCTGAAATAGCTGAATGTAAGTTGATCGTTGAAACGCCGCCTTTCATAACAAAACGAAAGATTCCGCTTTTGTTAGTAACCGATCGCGTTTCAAACAGTGTTTATTGTGACTTAAATTGGCTCCGCTATATTAGAAAGTAAGGCCGTACATGTTGGTGTCTATCTTCTTCCGATCAAAACCACTGTTAATTAGGTTGGGTTCTATTAGATTTCGCTTACTCACTGTAATAACAATTGGGCTTATGTCATGAGTCATGACCTATGACTTGACTTACTTTATAATCATATGCTTTCAAAGGCCATACATGCTTGAAATTTACTCAAATTCTAATTTTGAAGCCCATTATGCTGAAATCCGTATGCTTGCAACTTGTGATTGACCCGTGTCCTGAATGGTCCTTATTTTTTTTTTTTTTTGAAGATTAATAGAAACAAAAAACATAAATTAGAAAATTGGCGCTAGTGCAATAACAGAAATCGTACCAAAACTAAATTGAGTTATAGTTATGATCTATAAACATAGGGTTTTATTATTTTTTCGACCCACCTCCTTATCAGTGAATATCAACTAATCTGCTGGAATGACTATCATGCGGTCAGGCAGTTTGAAATGTACCGATTCACAGCAGCTGAATTAGTTACAATAGGTAACTGGCAACTTTCCCCAACGAATTTCGGATTACACATATGTACAGTATATATTTTCGATCATATTTCTGCTTCTCTATTCTAAACTATTCGCCTACCTTGCTTACCACCGAAAACTGTTAACCTAGTCACAACTGGGACACTCCATACGGATTCCACACAGGAGGTAATCATTTGACAAATATACTTCACGATCGATAGCGCTATAATTTTGCGGCTTATCAAGTATGACACAGAAACGGTTCCGAGTAGAATTATAAGAAAGATAATAGAATTGAACATCATCGATTTTTTATGACTTTAAACCGCTGCAAACGTATCTTGTCTGTCGTCGATGTAAATTCTCAAAATCGAGAGATTATCCATTTATATTTAATCATGTATGAAGGATTGATGTACGAAGCGGCGTGGGCACTCACAATCGATGGCCATGAATAGTATCTGACTAATGATGAGTCCGGCACTTTTCATTCATGCATGGCGCGGAGATTCCTAAGTGTTTTCTTGTCATAACAATTATCAAATTTTGCCGTTTGTTTTACAACATTGTTAAACTTAGCATTTCTCAAAGACATGTGTGATATATTGCTGAAATAATCTTTTTGCATACATCGGCAAAGTTGAAAATTTACACTTTTGAAATATCAGAACCATGTCTTTCCGCCAGAGATGAGCGGGATTTTAGTATTTGATATTAATTTTGAACACACTCCTCAATGCACTTTGAGTTGATGGGTACAAAATATTTTATTCTTGCGTAATTTGATGCTGAAAATAATCTTTTTGCACACACCAGCATACGTGAAAATTACACTTTACACTTTCGGTACAAGTATGGTT